GTCATAATCCTATGTGTTCCTTCAACTGACTAATATCAGTTTATTTCATTTGAAGATAATTTTCATCATATGTCGATTCCAGCTGGAAAATCGCTTGATCCCACTGTGTATTAGGCATCTGTTTTATCTTAGTTCATGATTATTCATCAGCATGCATTCATCACCCTTAGGTGAAAGTAAAATAAGAGAATTAGATTTGTTGACGATCATGACATTTTTTGATAATTAAATATTAATTGAACTATTTGTGGAGACAGATTTTAAGTTTTTATAAGCTTACACTTATCGTGGTACTGTATAAAATTCAAAAGTCCCCAAGAGTTATGACAATTGGATAAATCAAACGAAGAGTGGGATAGCAGTAGAACCAGACAGCAAACAAGATAAAGCAATGAAATTAGGTATAAAAGTAACTGCGAAGATGCCTCACATTCTCTACAAAAGGAGTTTTGCGGAACAAAAAGTGCCAGCAGATTAAAAAGTGGGATAAATCAACAGGATATCAAAGCAAGACTTTAGTAAGTGTGAGAACTATAGAGACATCACACCACTGTCGGTACCCGCAAAAGTTCTCATCAGAGTGAAATTGAACCGCATGGAAGATTCAGTAGACACTCAACTTTGAGACCAACAGGTAGGATTCCGTAAGGACCGGTCGTGAACAGACCGAATCGCGAAATTACTGGTCGTCGTTGCAAGGAATTGACTACCAAATATCATCTTCCTTGACTGTGAGAAAGGATTTGACAGAGTGGACAGAAGAACCTTATGTAACCTTCTTTGATACTATAGTGCACCTGAGAAGATCGTCAACATCATACGGAATTATTACGACCAATTACATTACAAAGTTGTTCATGGAGCACAGCTGACGGATGCATTCCAAGTAAGAAGCGGTTACAGACAACACTGCTTACTTTCACCTTTCCTCTTTCTTCTGGTGGTCGATTAGATTATGCAGACTTCAACATCTGAGGGGAAGCACGGAATATAATGGACAGCTTGGGTTCAACTAAACGATTTGGACTTTAAAGATGAACAGGCCCTTCTATCCCATACACACGAACAAATGCAGACGAAGACAACTAGTGTAGCATCAGTCTCTGCATCAGTAGGCCTTAAACACCAGCTTAGTCACACTTGTTGGAGGAACTCTGAAAAAGTGCAAACTTTCACGTAGTTGAACAGGATCATCGATGAGCGAGGAGGAACTGATGCAGACATAAAGGCAATGATTGGCAAAGCGAGGATAGCATTCCTACAATTAAGGAACATAATTAAGCCGTTTAGATCAGTGAACATAATAGAACTAATTAGACCACAATGTATTCATAAATTATGAATTCAGAAAATGAACAAATGATTTAAAGTCAATACCAGTTGACCAGTGTTCTCACTAGAATTCAGAACACTGTTTTAAAAAAATAAGAACTATAAGTTAGATTAAAAGTCTGACAAGAAGTATTATTTTATTATTTTTTAAAAAAATAAATATCAAGTGATCTAGAGATTAAGCGTTTGCAAGCGAGACCGATAGGTCCTGGGTTCGAATCCCGCGGGGTGGGATCGTTGATGTGCACTGTTGAGAAATCCTACACTAGGATGATACAACCGTGCATTGATTCCAGGTTCTCCACAATGATCTTGCTTCAATTGACTGATAATTTCAATTATTAAATATCAAGTGAATGAATTCTTATGATAGAGCATTGTAACTAATCCACTAATAACTATTCATACAGTTCTATTATATATGATCCTAATTAAAAAAAATAAAAATGAAGATCTCGTGGAATTTTCAATATAGCTAACTATATAAAACGAGAAATCATAAAGAAAAAAATTACCTTTTAAAAAGTATTCATTAAATTCACATTTATTGATTTAATTTAACAGTTATATTTTAGGTTACGGGTATGTAATACATCATATGTATAATAATAATTATACAATTATTCATTGTATATTGATTTTTGACGTTTTGTATACACATTCACACATTATGAATTTATTGTATAACAACAGTGTAGGTTTTATTTATTTATTTATTTATTTTTTCTTTAGTGATAAATTAAGAAAAGAGTAAGGTAAGTAGTTGGAAAACGTTTTTAAATAAATAAGATGGAATGTTATTTGGTTAAATTCAGTGTATTTTTTTCATTGAGAATAATTTAAATAAAACTTTAACATTAATGATATATTGTCTCACTTACTTATTTCTCGTCTGATATTTTTTCTCAATGCTAGTTACCATTTTAACTGTGATGTAGGCATATATATATAAACATATAAGCGACATTTGTGCGTGATTGTCGTTGATTATATCAGCCTCGTACTTTTAGGGTTTTAATGCTGATACCGAAATTTCATAGAGGAATATAAAGTGTGCTATTTTGAGTTCCGGAAGTTTGGAACCACTTTTTCCTTCTATAGAAATCTATGATTACTACGGAAATTGATTGATCATGGGACACATTTTGACATCAAAATCTCGTTGAGCCTACATTATAGCTTTTCCTTCGAGTTCGATAGTTTGATAATTTTCATTATGTTGCCCCTGCCACGAATTTGGGTAGTTTTGTAGAACCTTAATGATGAGAGTCCCAGACAATTAAGCAAAAATGGGTAGTCACGAAAGACAATACAAACATCATATCAAGGTAAGATGTATCGTTAAATATATCTGAGAACACTTCATTCAAATGTTATCGTTAACTAAATGCATTAAAAAGCAATAAATAGCTTAACGAAATACATTACTGATATGATATATATTTACAGTTTACAGTGAGGACGCTCTCAGAATCATAATCAAGTTAACACCGAGCTAGAGATCAGATAATTATTGCTTCTTAAAGTTAATATCATGGTTTGATCTTTGTTAAGTCTATGCAAGATCAATTCGTGAAGTTAAACAATCAACCAGCTCCAAATGTAATTATTACTTCATTTTGTTTAGTTCAAAACATTTTTAAGCGGAAAAAAGTTAATATTAAATTATATAAATCAATAATTATATATTATCACTCGGTTCATTTACACACTGTGGCTTTAAGTCAAATCACATTTTTCTAAATTACTAGCATTTCTCTTATGACTTTCCTCATTTCTGTAGATACACTTTAGCTATGGACACTGATCAGCTGATTATTCAGATGATTCTGTTTAAATGATAGTGATTAGTGCAAAGTGGTGGGGATTCCATGTTTTTTAGTAATTATGCCAACTCTAATACATTTTGAATAACTGTTATACATTCAAGTCATATGATACAATCTACTGCTATACCAACTGATTTCTATCCGTTTATTTATTATGCTAAGCTAATTTACTACAGTTGGTTAAATGTAGATAATTATTGGATATTGACAACCTAATAAAAACACTATTAGTATGCATGATGGCAAAGTACGACACTATGAATGAGATTAAAGCTTTGCACAGTGACTAAATATTTTTAAATGAAGCTAACTGGCTTGTTCGAAAAAATAAACTAAATATTAAGTTTTATATGGAAATTTCGCATAGTACATGAGTTGATCAAATTTTTTATGGGTTCATTCTGTTCTAAATGGTTCAACATTCTGCTAAACAAAACATGTCCATTTTACTTAAATTTATTAACCGACTATAGTTTTTTATCTTTATCTTGTCTTCCATTGAAGGTACAATAATAAAAACGGCAAAACAAACGGAAAAAGTTCACTTCATATTGTTATCAGTAATTTCCTTTTCTTTAAGTAATCTACAACAAATCTTTCGTTAACTGTTCATAATTCTGTGAATCCTAAAATATATGTTAATTATTGTGGAAGTACCTCCAGAGATTACTTTCATCACATGAGAGATTATTTAAGTAATAAGTTATAGTCCTTACATTTCTATTGAAACAGTAAAATGGAGTAAACTAGATATGATTATCGAAATTTGAAGCTTTATGATAGAAGAAACTGTTAACGTTTTAATAATAAAACAACGTAATAAACTGAAATATCTCACAAATGAACCTTAGTATTAAGTGTGATATATTATTATTATGGGTTATTTTCGAAATGCTTAGCAAGGAATAAACTGATTGAAGTGGAAGTGACCTAAAAAACTGAATTTTTATAATCGTCTGTAACATGTTATTATTTCTTAAAATGGAGTAACCACATGGCTTAATTATATCTGTTGATTATAGTCGTTTAATTTTATCAGACTGTAAATATCTTTTTACATAATAAATTATTAGTTCGTTGATGTTAAATACTACTCAGTTCACTTTATACTAATCTCAATATAAATAAATAGCATGAAAATCTCAACATTCATACATCATCTTGATTTATTACTGACGTCAGACAAATCCTAATCTACCGTCTTCATGTTTATATTTGTGCTATTTGATTCACCGATTTTTTGTTGAATTATTAAGATATCATGCATCTGAAACAGTATTTAAGCTATTTTAACTCCTGAAACGAGCATTTTAAACATTCTGCGGTTTCGAGTGAATAGTTGAATTTCCTACATTAAAAAAAGGTTAAAACTAACTTGCGTTATTTATAAAAAATTTATAAACTTGAAAATTACAAAGTGTATTCAAATAAATAAGGTACTGTTTCGATAAAACATCAAATAAGTTGTGTTATAGACTTCCATAGTAAAACTTCACACTAAATAATCTGTATCAAGGTCGAATACTTCGATAATCGACAATGTTTAACTGACTATCGTGTGAATAAACATTAAAGTTACAGCAAAATACATATCCAAATAGGCAAACAATTTAATACTTCAGAAAATGCACTGGTTTTTCCACACCGTTAAAAAATACAGAATTATACATATCTAAACGCAGTAATATGCATTTTCATATGAGTATACACAATCGTAATGGTTTGTAGAAATAGTAGAACGTGAAATTACAGTGGGTGAAAAAACCCAGTAAATACAAAATAAAAATAAGAGCTAACTACTGAATATTTTAATAGTAGTATAGAAGATTTGCGAAAATTGTAGGATTTAAAGAGGATTTCACACAATATTTTAATATACAGAAATAGGAAAATGAACTAGAAAAAAAATTTTGTGTACATAGAACGGACAAACACACATCGTTGTAACACCGAAATGAAAGGAAACATAAAAAAGACGACTAAGCATCATAAATGCAGGTCCCTAAAGTTTATTCAAGATACAGAGTGTAGTCACAAAGGTATTTATTGGAATACTGAGGCGAATGGAACCAGGATATATTTAATTCAAAAGTTCTCCTTAGATTTCATTTTTATTTATTGTGATTGCCTGTTCAGTATATATTCTTAACTTCGTGGAACAAAAGATGGACCAGGAGCACGTCGAAACAATGCCATTTGATCCACTATCGCCCGTCCAACACTGCGATCTGATGGATTCTTTTTACGTTTCATTAGTCGTCCAGCTGTATTACGACATATACACTGCAACAACAAACACTAAATTAATTCATTTCGTTCAAGGAAGTGAAAAAAAATGAAATTATTAGCTGTAAATAACCAATTTGTTGTTGCTTTTTACAAAAAGCATTGAATAATAATTTATCAAACAATTACTAAGATTTAGATACTTATGAAAATACTGGTAAACATGTGTTATTCAGTCAACAATACAATCAATTAGTATGTTTATTTGTTTAAATCTACCAGATCAATTAATTTGCTTTTAAGTCAATCATAAGACTGCCGTGAGTATTATCAATTTATTGTCAGATGCAGCTAAGTGGACAAGTAAGATTTACCTGATTAATTTTGTACCTGTGAATTTTGCTTCAATATCATATGATGAAAAGAGTGATGGAAAAGAATAGTAAATCACATTTTACATTTTTATAAGTATTAACGAAAATTAACTTAATGTCTACGGAAAACGATGAAGATTTATATAAACAATATAGTTTTATTTTGTTGCGTAGACAGTTAAAGTTATTGAGTGAATCTCTTTGAATTGTGTTTTCGTATTTATCAGTACTGTTGAGTAAAATTTTCCTTTAGTTAACAGGGAAAAGCGATAACATTCTTGTTGTTCCAATTCATAATGCTTGAAAGTTAATTTTCAGATTTTCAAAACGGGTTAGAAGCTAGAGCATTAACCTTTCCAGTGTAGACTTTAAACATCTGGTGAGATTTGAAGACTGTATCTTTTCCACACCATATATTTTTATGTTTACATGCAAATAAATCAAAGTCATTGACCTCGATCAGAATTTTTAATAACTGTATTATGTAAATAGCTTTATCAATCAAATCTTTATAGTTGTTTATGGTTAGTCTATCGTCTATGAAAAGCGTTGTTCTAGAAATACAAACTGTACAAGATATTCAGAAACTCTTGAAATTATGTTTGTATACCAAATATTCATGACACTTAAAAGTTACTTAACGTTTGTCTTTAACGATACTAAAACAGAGCCTAGAACAAAGAACTCATGACACTGGTTTATAACAATTAGTGAAATTCAAATAATGTGTTACGTTTAATCTGGTAATAATCATTTTTGATTTTTTAAATCAACAAGCAACTTGCTTGTTCTTATCGAGAAAAATATCTAGCGAATGAAATTTTGGGAAATCGCCTTGTTTATCATTGATCTATTTTTAATCACTGAAATTGAAACATTAAATAACTTTATTCATTTCCATTAAGCAACTTCTCCACCTTGAATTATGGCAGTTTTGATTGCGGTTAACGGTTATAAAATCAATTTCCGCCTTTACGGTCGAAAATAAGATGTAAACTGATGGAAAAATAAAGCCGTTCTTTGCGTGTCTTCGTTTCCGCATAACATAAAGAACAAAAAGTATAATGACATAAAAGATGTAAGATAATCACCACATGATCAATGAATTCATTCGAATAGATGGGATAAATGGTTAGTTATTTTATAAGAAATACGTTTAATTTAATATAGATTTTCTATAGTTCCAAAATAGTTTTGTGACAGGAAATTGATGTTAGCAGTAAAAAAACCCTTGGAAACCAAGAAGGTTTGAATTAAGCTTTCTTAATAGTTTGTAACTTCTTACAAATACTTACACAAAACAGCATACAACAGCAGTAGCATTCGATCTCTTTAGGCCAACAAATCTATTTACAACTTGACACAGACCTCAACCGATGCTATCTGTGAGTTACTGAAAAAATCCAAACTTTAAGTTTACTCTATTTTTCAAATCAATATTTTATGAGTATCAGAACAGTCATTAGTAAAGTAAGGGTATGAAATGCTTTTGTTAAGCAGAATGTTATTTTCTTTGCTTAAGGAATCTTTAATGAGATATTAGTGGATCCGGTTGTTGAGTCAATTGACTTAGCTAGAAGTTGAAGTATATAGGGAAAATGGTAACAGAAGTCAGGGAAGAAAGTGTAGTAACATTCCTAAACAATGTAAATCAATTGAACAATGATAATACAAGGCAACGAGAGACCTTAGTAGATTCGTCTTACAATATTCAGACGCCAACAACAAAATATTGATTTTGAAAAGGTGCATCATTTATTTATATTTCAAGCAAACTAAAAAGGAAGTTTTACTAATACTACATTCAAGTTAACAAAAGTAGGAATATTACATCAAACAATCCAATTTGACATTCTTTGTAATTTATATATCTCAACAATAGTTTTCATGAGAGACAAATACTCCTCTAAAAAAATGTTAAAATTATTGCATTTTAAATGATAAAATGTAAGTGATTGTTTCATACTCTTCAGCAGAAAATCTTTTATTTTTGAAGCATCTAAAAACATAGTTTGGATGTGAACATGTAAGCAAAATTAGTTAAACATCCTTTAGGATTGATTACATAAACAACTTAGTTAATAGCAAAACATTTAATCAATTCACGTAATTTAACGAAAATCAATAAATGCATCGGTGATAAAAAAGCAATTTGATTATGCTTTTAAGCATATATTGATGGCATTTGGAAAACGATTGAAACCGGAGAGCATTAGGCAGCTCTGAGAACTCGTAATCCTATTGTGAGTGACATCTATATATGTGTCAATTTTTCATGAAAACTACTTTCGAATTAAACATATCCAGCAGAAAGCCGTTGAAAAATGTGTAGCTAATCTTATCCACTAGTAACAATAAGACAAAGACGGTTCATTGATTAAAACATTCAGTCCCAAAAGTGTAATGTAGGGACTAGATTGATCTATTCAGAAATGACCATGTGAACTTGAATTCATTTCTCAGTTAATGACCAAACAGTTTGCATAAATTAACATTATTTCACAACAGTACCATTTAAATCTCTTACATATAGTGGTATTAGAGAGGTTATTGGTTTTATAAAGTGAATTATAAGTTTGTCAATCTTCATATTGTTGTGGTCTCTCCACATAACCATATTCATTTGAGTATGAATTTGCTGACACTAAATATTTCTTTTAAAATTCTCTCCATATTTATAAATAAATTTGCAGAGAATTAGTGATTATCTGTTAAATCTTTTCGCGAACAAATTCCCTTAAAGAATTAGGACGACAAAGCTATAAGACAATATAGAGAAGTCTTTGATTATATTCGGCACTTGGTTTAGCATTTCTACTTCACTAACTCACCTGTTATTCACTGAATCACCAGTAAAATGATTTCTTTGTGAATCTTTCATAAAAAGTAATTTATTTACGTGTTATTTGAATTGAATGTTTAAAAGTGAGTACTTGATTAGTTTAATATTGACATTTTCACTGTACGATGACTTAAAGTTTTGAGCAACCTAAGTTTTGTACAAAGATATTTCTGTCACTTATTATATGATCAGAGATAAAAATCATTCATGTTTTAATTTTATTTTAAAACTGTATTGATTCTGTCGATTCTGACCGATATGCTCTTAAAGAGTAATTTTCACTCAGTCAACATCCAAACATTGAACTACAGACTCAAACATTCTCCACATACTTTGATCTGACCAATCTGTACAGTTTAAAGGTGGCAATTCAAATGTTTGCTCATTTACTGTGTTAGATAAAATCAGTCTTAATTACTGAATTTTAATTATGGAATATCGAAGAGCTGTTTTCTGTTGCAGTAAATGAGAAAGTTACATACCTTAGGCTAAAACTTTCATCCATTGTATGATCTGACTTAAGCTCTTTGAAAAAAACAAACAATTTTTTTATGGTAAGGGTGGTTCGAGTATGTGACATTACATGTTTAATGATTAAGTCAAGTCATACGGCTTTCTTTTGCATATATCATTTCATGTAGACTTGCAAAGGTGAATGTTTCGGAAGGAATAATCAAATGTCGTCTACAAATACTCCAGAAGATATACTAGACAATGTATTGTGACTAGAAGCGAGATTTATGACAATACAGTAACTAGGCATTTGATAGATAAAAAATATTAGGTAAAACATTTTTAACACAAAAAAACTAACAAAAGAAGAATATATGGTTAGTTCCATTTTGTAAAATAGCCAATAATTAAAAGCTTTTAGCATGAATAATACAGACAGTAAGGCTGAGGTATGAAAGTTTCATTATTCTTACGACTTCATTTCACTATTTAAATATTTATGTTTTATGATCAGGATTCATGGAATGAATTCATGAGTCGATGTAAGCTAGATCACCACTGAAGACCTGGATACACTGGGAGGCCGTTTCGTCCTAGTATGGGGCTCCTCAGCAGTGCGCACTCACGAGGGATTCGAATCCAAGACCTTCGGTATTACGCGGGACCGGGACGTGCACTTCTGGGGAGTCCTATACTGGGACGAAACCGCCGTTCAGTGCTTCCAGGTCTTCAGTGGTGGTCTAGCTTACATTGACTCATGAATTCAACTATTAAAAATATTTGTTTTTAATCATATTTTTGAATTGATGAACTAATATAATTAAATTATCCTCATATTTTACTATTTTTCAACCACTTTAATGATCTTACATTTTCACTTACTACTCGATTTTCGCAACATCTGCAAATGTAACTCAAGGTTAAAACTAACACTACTTTGTGTTTTGAGAATTTTCCAAACATTTGATGAGATTTGTTATAATCGATTTTAAATTTTATAATTTGTCACTTATAGTTTTATTATCTGAATGGGTTTTGTGAAGATTTTTAGAAATTTCACAAGTTGAAATCATGAGCCAATTGAAGCTAGACTACAGTGCTTCCAGGTTTTCCATGGTGGTCTAGCTTCAATTGGCTCATGATTTCAACTTGTGAAACTTATAGTTTTCCCTGTTTTAAACTGTTGGACAACATGAATTGAAGTAGTTTGGTTAAACGTGCCATATGTCACCATCGTACATTCAATATTTATTCTAGGTAATAAAAATCAATAAAATAATACATAGTTTCTTCTCATTTCCAAATATGAGATATGGGATAGACCGCTTTCGTTCATTTGAACAGTGTAGTTAAATGTTAACCATTCTTAAATCTGGATTGACAGAATCATAAATTCCCAGTGAATAGATGTTAAAAATCACAATAAGCTGTCACATAATATAATTGCACATTTATATTCAAAATAAATATGATTAAATCCATTTAAAAAGTGAAAGATTGTGAGATCCTTATTTGATAGGTTGATCAAAACTTGAAAATTTACGAACTAATTTCGATACTTATATTTTGTTTATCATTTAAATTTCATCCATATCTTTCTTATTAGTGTTATATTAAAACTTATTCTGTACTTAAGTTAAGGACTGCAAATTTGTAATAAAATGACCGATTTTTATGTTTTCTATTCGTGGTACTTTTTTGCCACTGTTGAATACTCAAAGTTTACTGTCTATCTATTTTAAAAAGTCATAATCATCTACTGTAATTTGAATACATAGATGTCTTGAGTCACTTCTTATTTAATCAAGAATTTTGCTGAGAAAGAAGCTGATACTTTATTAGTCAATTTGTTTAAACCAAAGAAAATAACTAGTTGTTAATATTTTTTTATAAAAATCAGTATTTGTAATGCATGCATATCAGCCTGTCAATAGCAATGTGGAACTTTGTACGCATGTACATCAGTCCAAGTTTTCATATCCTATTAGCAGAGCGTTATCAAATTGTCAAAAGAAATTCCAGAGTAGTAAAAGCAGTAACATCATTAGCAATAATAATAAAAGATTAGACATCAGAGATGCAATTCAGGGAAATATAAACTAGAGAAATAAGAGAATTTATGGAGGATTTAGAAATTTAGGATCTCAGGGGAGACAGGGAGTGAATGCACTTTTATCACTGCAAATGATTTTGTGTCATGTCACCCAACGTCTCTAACCACTAGTTACGATGATCATATATATATATATATATATATATATATATATATATATATATATATATATATAATAAGTATTGTCGTATATTTAAATAATCAAAATAAATAACTCACACAGTTTACCGATCCACTTACAGTTTTAATTTAAAAAAGTCGCTTAAAACATTTTAAGCTTCCATTATTATTTGATTCAGAATCTTCCTATATGGTTCAACAATATGTAGTTGTGAAATCTGATGGTTTTCAACCGAGTTTAGTCTAGGTATTAATGATATTAGTATAAAGTGAACAGCATAATGTCACATAATTACTTTTATTATATTAAATGAACGGTAATAATTTAAACTGCTCTATGGAAAATGTAGTTTGTACCTGATTGAATAATCCCTTGAATCCATAACATCTTATTGGATATATATTGTGGATATTTATGTGTCAACTGAAAAATGTAACTTTTTTATTTCTATAAAAAAAAACTTTGTTTTGGTCTCAAGTGGTTTCTTTAATTGTAACCTTGTATACTTCTTCAGGTTTGAATTTTTATGTTGGAGAAGAATTCATTTCATGAAAATTACAATTGTATGTTGTTGTTAATTGCCAACTAGAAAATCGAATGATTCCTATCGATTAAATTGAATCATTTTATAATAAGAATTTACCAAAATTACTTTATTTATTATATTTTAAATTTAATATTAATGTATAGTCACTTTTATAAAATAGTTGTAACCAACAGATTAGTACATACAATTCAACGTGATTATTAAATTTCATTCAATTATTTAATTAATTATGGAACTTAAAAATTATATTACATATTCTATATATAACTAAATTATATGAATTCACTTACCGATAATAATGTAAAAAAGCACATTGTAGAAAAATTCTCCTAGATGTGAAATTAAACTGCCTTGAAAATTTGTCGTCTATCAGAGGAGGTAGTATTTTTCTTTTTTTTGTTTTTTTTTTAATTCGAAAAAAGAGTAACAAATCAAATAGTTTTATAAATAACCCAAATGATTATGAATAATATCCTGTACTATTTACAGACAGGAGAAGTTTTTATATTCAGCATTTATACATATGTTTATTCCTATGCATACCGTCATACATTTATATATATGTGTACATATAGGTGTACATACACTTGTGTTTCTGTTTGATGTGTGCTCATCTTTTAATATACACGTGTCCACCTAAATACCCCAATACTAAACAAGGTCGACAATATGAATGTGTTAAATCATGGTTCTTTGAGTTGGTCTATGATAAAATCTACTTGTTTATTTTTTAAAATTTATTTGCACCAACTATGGTGTTTCTTAATTCTCATCAATATTGTTATTGTTGCAATGATTATCAGCCTTTATTAGTACTATAATCGAAATGCATTAACATACTATTGGGTAAAAATTATTATTCAATCATTTACTCATAAATGAAGACATACTCTGTGTAGCCTGTCAATATAAAAGTTAGTTTTCTTTTTTAAATGACATCTATATTCTAGCTTATAAACAAATGTATTTTTAAGGATGTGTATAAGAGTGTGCTCATTTCTGTCTGTCTATCTATCGGTCAACTATATATATGTATACGTGTAATACAAGCACATATACATACGGAAATTTATCAAAAAAAAGAAAGAAAAACTGATTTCAACAATTAATCAACGGTATCATTTTAAGAGTGTTTGTTTTGAAGATTATTTATTGCAAAGTGTCATTTCAAAATGATTGTCTTCAGTTTCCCTCGATGAAACAGTATTACATACATAATAGATGTAATAATAAATGTTTGTTAACTGATATTAATGAATAGAATTGAATACTGAATTCTGTTTAATGTTAAGTGTACTTCTTTGTACTCTAGGTATTGCTGAATTTCGGTATTATTTTATTTATTTATTTGAACACATAAATTTTGGTACAAAGGGGAACCGATTTCATATACTCCACACAAGTCATTTGGTTTGTATGTGAGCTGTGATACTGCCCGGGTGACCAAACCGAAACAGGTAGTTTTCTTTCGGGACCACACCTGGAACCTTCGACCTGAAGGTCTGATCCACAAGACAGCGGAGCAACGTCAGGAGACGCAGTTCCATGTTAGCTGGTGATTTTTGATTTGTTGAATAGATTTTGAAAACCTATTACAGGTAAATACCAAGAAGGAATAATGATGAACAGTTTGTCAGTGGACTATTGTTACTCGATAGAATTCGATCAGCGCTAAAGACTGGAGCAATGCTAAAGTAATCAGTCATTGTAAAATTACTGATTTTTATGGGTGAGCAGTAGCAGGAGGACTTGTTTAACTGGACATTTCCTAAGAAGATGGTAGACTGCATTTTCTGATGTCACCAGTTTATTATTAATGTTTTCATGATCTTTTTCGATAACATTATCATCAGCATAAACTTTGCAAGTAATCTGTAACATCACTGATTGTGACATTGGATGGTAAGGTTTTGAACTGTGGTTGGATTATCAGTTCCCTCAACGGTGACAGTACGCATTGCAGTTCAGTGACAATGCGCAAAACATCTACGTTCAAGAATTCCTAGTCATTTTATCAACCTGCCTTATATTAAAACAATCATTTTTATCACTGGAAGGGTACGAATTTAATATAAAGAAATATTCTTTACATTAATTTGCTTAATAGTGTCAATATTTTTATGTCTTTTAGAACTCATGCCGTGATCAACATAGTGTGGTTATACTTTCCGCTTTTGATCTAATGTAGTTTGGATGACATAAGGTGTTTAAATTAAAATAACTATTCATATTCATTGTCGGACTATCTTATCTCATTGTTCAGTTTAATATAAGGTCTTCTTTTATCAAGAACGTAGGTTCGAGACGGTTATCAGTTGTATGTCTATTTTGTTTTCAATAATGAGGTATGCTATTGACACAATGTGTAATTGAGTTTGATGCTATATTTGTATCTTTATGGATCATATGTTATCAAAAGAAGCTACTCCTTAGTAAGTAAATAGTGTATACAATAGAGCCCTTCAAAGGGTTGCTTGTGACTACCATGATCTATCACATATGATTTTTTTACTCTTTGTGTAAATAAAAAAACTTTTCGCTCATGAATTATCTGTATTATGAATATTCCTTCAAACTAATAACAGTCATATAGAAGCATAAATATCCCTTCCAATTTATATGGGAATGCATTCAGTGTTAGCTAGACTAAGTGATGAAGTTTGCAAACTACTAATTCAAATACACTGATTCTATCAAACATTCATTTTAATTAGAATTCAATCGGTAAACAAAAGTGTTTTACAGGGTTCTAGGAATATAGTATTGTTAACACGCACAAATATATTTCGATTAATGTACTGACCAACTTTAGGAATGGTAATTTGATTAAGAGAGTTCTCTAAATGCAAACAAATTCAAGGTAATTAAAAATAGTCCAATACAAACTGATAAACTAACACTACCAGCTCAAGATTTCTAGTCAAATGTCGTGGTAGAATCTTGTCATACCACTCTATAGGCTAATCCAAATGGTTAGCTTAATAGTCTCATGACTATATATCTTTATCTCAGTTGAAACAAATTGCCTTCTCAAGCCTTATTTTCTTCTTTGTTCACTTTCGGATAACAGCATAATCCTATTCTTCTATATCTTAGTTACTAATAGACTTACTAAGGAGCTTCAAAAACCAGGTTGAGGTTCAGATCTTTTTGCCGACTACTTTCAACTATCAAACGTCAATATTTAAGTTATTTAAGTAATTGACATTCTATCAATTTGTTGTTAAATTCACGTATATTTGAATATATTGTTTTGATTTGTGCATTTAAAAGATGAGTATATATATATTCATGAGATAAAGATCAATTAGTTTGGTAATTAGAATCTAAAATGATAGCTACAAAATATATACTTTAGTTGATTCTCCTAAACATTCATCCTTTTTAAGATTTCTTCTATTCAAATTCAAAACATTATTTTGCTCATTTAATGACATTCAAATAACTGCATACCATAGATATACACATCAACCTACATCAACAATAATAATCACAACATGTAACTATCTGTTATTTAGGTTAATGATACTTTATTACGTAAATAAATGCGTGTATTGATGATTCATCCACAATGAGAAATTTATTTGAAAAAAGAAAATATGTATCCGAGACTATACTATTGCAAATTTATAAATTTGTTTATTTACTAGGCAAGTTCTGAATGATATGCATATTATTGTAATTCATATGAGTAGTTAGCTGTAACAAGTCAAGTAACATAGTATGGTATTTGTTTTTTTCTTATTACATTTTTATCGTCTAACATTTTTCTTATTCAAGTCAGATGAATTTTTGTCATCAATTTTACATACTTTAGATTAGTATGCTTAGTGAGATCTCCCTATCCTATTTAAATTACTATTGATAATAATTAAGCTTAACTGAATTGTATTAAAATAGTTGAGATCATTTAGTTATTGATAAACGACAGATTCTAGGTCAATTTGGAATAATAATGAAATAATTATGGTATTTGAGTAAAAGAAATCCATTCGTTTAAAGGTAATATCTGTGATTTTTGTAGTCAATAAACAATCGATAAAAAAGGGTGTAAACTATGTAGAATATGTAAGTTGTTTAATATGCGTTCACCAATGAAAGTGATCATTACCAAAGTGTATATATTGTAAGTTATGAACACAACTATGACTTCACCGTAAACTGTCATATATATATATATATATATATATATATATATATATATATATAACCGTTTGCTTACTTGGATCTTGATGTGATACGTAAAATGTGTTTTCATATAATATCTTTGATGAAAGTGTAGTTCAGTGACGAAATTGATCGATTCACATATGATTCCATGATTTTGAATCCATTTCTCAGTTAATGACCGAAAAGTCTGTATAAATTAACATTTTTTCACAACAGTACCATTAAAATTTCTTACATATAGTGGTATTAGAAAGGTTATTGGTTTTATAAAGTGAATTATAAGTTTGTCGATCTTCATACTGTTGTGATCTCTCCACATAACCAGATTGATTTGAGTATGAATTTGCTGACACTAAATATTTCTTTTAAAATTCTTTCCATATTTATAAATAAATTTGTAGAGAATTTATGATTCCATATAAGGTAAATTTCTTATTAAATAATGATTCATTCGGTATGCTTATTCATACTTACAACTCATTATATGATTACTACAAGTTTATAACTTAAGTGGAATAAAATTTAAACTCCTTATCATAATTATGAAATACACATGGAGGCATTCACTTATATTTATGTGGTTTTTTGTGTATTATTATTTAGATTACAATATTCATAAGTTGTTGTTCATCTTCAAATCATTGATCAATCTTATTTTCTTCAAATCACGTGTTGGAAACTAGAAAAGCAATGAATATGTGCAGACAAATATACTATGTCAATGTACACTTTGTAACTACCTATATTGTAAAATAAGAAAACATAAAAATCTATTTATTTCTTGTAATCCAGTGTTGTAACATTGAACAGATTCTAGGACGCTTCCTTAAGTCCTGATTTTTCTCGTCTTTTTCAATTTTAGTCAATGAGCAAAATACTTTGTTTAGACGTAAATAATTCCCAATAAACAATAATAACATGCATAACATAAATAATGCTCAATTATTTGCAAGTGGATAATAAACAAAGCATTTGGAAGGTTAAATTTCTCAGTTTACATGTTTTAGGAATCTATATTTATTGTTTGGCCGATTGGGTGAAACTATAATTTATGGACGAACTAATCAGATTTAGGATAACAAGTTTTCGATTTTGGTGCGAGATTCATTCATCCATTTGGCCAAATAGAGTTTTGGAATTTTAAATTATATCAGTTCATGATGAACATTATAAATCTAATTCCTAGCCCTAACCATCAACTGTAAATCATAATCTTTGTTCTTCACACATGTTTATAACCCTCGTTTAGCTCTAGTAAATTGGTGGACATGCTCAAGGTCACTTTAGCATCTCTTAAAGGTTTTCCATAAATTATGGTCTCACTACATGTAGTGCTTGGTGCAAGACATGGATATCCTGGTTGAAACTGTACATTTTAATTACTGTACAGTTTTAAATCCATGTTAACACATATTGAACATCCATATCGTTTCATGATGAAGATTAACACGAAATATTATCTATTAGTTAAATCTTCATATATAATTTGAAATTATAAATTAGATCGGAATGAATATACTGATAAAGTGAAATTAAAAAAAGCAAATATCCATCCGTATTTGTAGGTATCATTACCAAGGTATAACCAAATTTTAATTTGGTTATTTATTCTCTGAAGAAGTGGCTCACACCGAGTCACGAAACGTCAGAAAATTTAATTTTTCTACTCATTCAGATATCACAAATATATTAATTTATTTATATCCGCCTATATTGTTTCG